TGGCTAAAGTGAAATAGACAATAGAAATCTAGCTTTGCATTCCTATGGTGGTTTTTTTTTTTTTTTATATTCTGACGGCGTACGCCAGTGGTTCTCAAGCTGTGGGCCGCTGTGTGATTTCTGCTGTGCTACGTGAGAGTCCTCATTAGCCCTCTCCTAGCGCAGCAGTGTCAGTTCTCCCGCCACGCCGCCAGATGTCGATGCAGCAGCCGTGTCATCCCTAAATTTTACCGTTGGGGTCACCACAACTTGGCAAATGTTACCAAGGGGTCCCACCCCTAGAAAGGTTGAGAACCACCGAAATAGATAATTACTTTCTTACTACAAAAAGTCATCACTTCTAGTACACATTCAAACAAGCGATCTCATTCAACAAACATGCAAATAATTCTTCTTTAAAGTAAACCTGTGGTTTGCCTATGTGGGGCATCTAACTGGTCTACTATGCTGGCTTCACCAGCCATGCATACCCACTTTCATTTACTCCCCACTTCTGTTGAGCTGCTCAGAGGGAAGAAAAGTACCTGGTACTTCCAGATATTGGGGATCATATGACTGCCCCCCTCCCATGTGACTGCTCTGGTAATTGGCGACTCAGAGACACTTTGCCATGTCACAGGGGGAGTGGGGAGAAAGTCCTTAGCCTTGTGTAACTTCCAATTTGCTTCTCAGGACTTACCCTGAGCTTCTTTGTTACTGTTGCCTGAAAAGAGGTGTTGGAGTGTAGGGAAGATAAGAATGTAGTTTGTGGGGCTGGAATTAAAATTAACAATTTGCTTTGTCTACTTTCAAAGAGGATCACAACCATGTTGATAATCTTAATTGCACCTTCAAGCCCCCATTGCATCTACACTTAGGGGTTGATTTATAGAACTTCCCCCCAGCCACACAATGGGTGAATGCTGTTCTCACGGTATTCCCACTACTAGATGGAAATTTCTATGCTCCTTGGCGTCATTTAGTGGAAGGAAATCCATGCAAATGGTATTCATCCAGCGTAGGACTGGGCGGAAGTTTATAAATCATACCATTAAAGTTTCACACTACACACCTACGTATAAACTGCTGCAGTAGCTGATGGCAGCTGAACATCAGGGCAAGTAGCTGCTGCAAAAGGTGGGATCTTTGTTTAGGCAGAGCTAATGATTGTCTGGCTCTGCTGAATGCCACCTGTTATCAGGGTCCATATGAACAGAAGCTGTAACTCTTTAGTTATTATTACCAGGTTGGAGGCTGCCCATGTAACTGCACTGGTAATTGCAGCTCTCCTCTTTCCTAGCTTTCCTCTCATGTGCACCAGGACTCAGACTAAACCAGTCAGCCATCATTGCATTGCTTCACATACACTGGTAGCTTGCTTGCAGGAGGACAGAACTCATGGATGACCTCATCAACATGCTGTTACTTTATTTTCCAACCAGCTTCGGGAGTAGAGGTGAAAATAGAAGCAGAAATTAAAAATCATTTTTTTCTGCAGTCACCCATAACATGGATGATTACCATAATGTTAGTGTGACATTGCCAAACAGCATACATGGAGGATTCCTGCAGCTACAGCAGTAAAGCTGTATATGAGTCAAAAGATCGAAATGGTAATTTTTGTTCTTAGAATTCCACCCTAAGTCTCTGAAAAGGAGACTTTTACTCATTTAGTTTTTTCTTATAGCAAACCTGGTGGGCTAAAATAAAATGTTAAATCATCACTTAGTGTATAATAGGCCCTATTTGAACTCGCTGGAGTGAAAGAGCGTGTGGGGCGGCTTCCTGTGAGAGGGGAACCGCTCAGTACATGGCTTTCTGACTGAACGGATGCGAAGCTTGGTCTGGCTCGAGGGTTCGGGGGCGGCAGAAGCCCGTGGTGTTGTGCCCCCTGGGGGTGGCGTCCCAGGGGTGCGCAGAAAGTCACATGGGTATGGGACCCCACTTGACTCACTGTGCACTTGGTCACACACCACCTTGCTTTTTCTGCACGACGCCTCTTGGACAGGCCTTATGGCTAGTCCGGGGCAATATTTTTGCACTCCGGCCCCTAAGGCCTGTCAGCGTGGTGCACTGACACTTTAGTATTATTTATTGCACTCTATGCACGATGCACGAATGATTTTTGATTGAATTACCCACAGATTGCGGAAGGTGCAGGTTCCTTCGGGGCCTATTCCTGATGCTGGGAGGAGGTTCTGTGCCTCTTACGGGGTTCTCTGCCTCCTCCCACCCAGGAGGTGGGTTTCTCTTCGGGAGATCCCACCTGCCAAGTACTGAGGGGGACCTGTTTCGGCAGGTCCCCATAGGAAATGGGTCCACCGGCCTTCGGGTTGGTGGACCACCAGTCTCAACCCCTGTCAGGAGCCTTGCGCCCCGGGGGGTCGGGAAATGGGTCCCTTCTTCGGAAGGACCTTGCACCCTTGTGCACGTTTTTGTGTGCTGTGATTTCACGGTTCACTTTTTTTGTTCACAGGGGGAAGTTTGTTGAGATGCACGTCCACGGGCTTCAAAAAAAAAAAATAGGCCCTATTTGAAACCAGAAAACTAGGGAGCTCTGATATGCAAACAGCTCTTGGTCCTCTGGTTGCTGGTCTTTCACCTCCTGTGTGCCAGTTACCAGATGTATTTGACCTGCCGCTGATCTGTTTCTGATCTGAATTTGCCCTGCTTAAAGCTACTTTTGCATTCCCATAGATTTGTATGGGGAGGGAAGCAGTTTTGATGCAAAAAGAAGCCTATCAAAGCTGTCTCTTGAGAGCTTTGTACTTAATTTGAATATAACATGACCCAATCACTGTACCATGGACATGCAAATTTGTACATTTGCATACCAAGCAAAATGGGCACTTGGTCATGCCCACTATTACCAATTACTGGTACTTCTGAAAGTGGCCCCACTTGAATGCATCTATTTTTGTGTGGTTTCTATCAGACAGAAACATGCCTGATGGACACTGAAAACATAGCAGTTACAATTTCCACTTCCAACACTTTTCCAGGATCCATATGTCATGTACTGCAAAGTATTAATATGCTTCCTGCATTAAAAGCTGCAAAAAGCAAGCATAATAGTTACAAAGATAAAAGGTTACAAAATGACAGATATTTAGCAAGTGTAACCTCTGGTCTAGAAGAAAGTAGACAAACCCCACCGTGTAACTGCTTCTAATAAACTAGATCTCTTTCAATTTATTTTTTTGTTTTTGTCATTCTCACCTAATTTGCTAAAGCACTCCATATCTTAAACGCATCAACCAAATACAAACATTTTCCCCTTGGTTGAAGGGCACTGCAATTACCAATACATTGGGTTTAAAGCATATTCGTTTGCATTTTACAACCTGCAGTATGTTTAATAAATGAGTGGCTGGACTTCATACCAGCTTCCGCAGCTACTAGAAGAGTGATTTCTAGAGTATAATAATGGGGATGCACAGGATGGCAGCTTTTGCCAGTTTCCAAAATGAAGAAGCTTATCACACTAAAATAAAGCCATAACTGGAATAAAGCAGATCAAATGTTTTTTTTTTTGTTTTTTTTTACATTAGGACCTATTCCCTCTCCTTTAGCTCATACCCACCCATGAATGCAGTAGGGCATTCTTCTTGACTCCCATGACGGAAAATCCATTCTGGTCACCTGTGGGACCTGAAGATCTCCTCCTTCTGTTCCAGAAAGGTAGAAGGCTTAATGACTAGTGTAGAAGGAAAGCGAGTGACCTCGCTTCTAATTTTTCGGCCACTGCCATGAGCACACTGTGGCAAAATCTGGCTTGTGCAAATAGTGGTGGAACGCATGTCCCATGAGCTCATTCAAATTTGTTTACATTATAAGCATGAACACAATGTTTGCATTCTTAGTTTTACCTAAATCTGACACTATAACCACAGCGTTGAAAATATGTGGTGTAATGTGTAATTAAATGCAGAATCTTTATAAGCATTAATCACCTGCACCCCAAGAACCTCTTCGATTACATCTCTGCAGACCCTTCCTCCTTTTCAACATGGCCCTCTATCCCCTCTTTCCACAAAAAAAAAAATCTGCACATGTCAAGAGATTAGGTATGCAAATATCATATGGGAATGGGGTTGTAGTAGAAGTGCCAGTTATTTATGTACTGCAAGGTTTTATAAGTACATGGATAGACATATGGTTAACCAAGTTTATTTTAATGTGTGCTTAGATACTTATAAACCTGATGATGCATCTATTCTGTCAATCGCTTATGAACAACAAAGTAGAATTACATACATTTTAAAATATTTGACTGTTGGTCAAACATCGCTAAAATCCGACATTGTTTACCATTAAATATCACATACATCAGAAATACTGCTATGCACAGATGTAAAAATATACTTTATTATTAACGAAGATAAACTTTGGTTGAGGTAGTGTCTTAAAATGAAATAAGCAAGCGTATCTAAACCTAAAAACTTAATATATTTCAGCTTACCAATCTTTAAACGTGGTGGCTGCATTGATTTTCTTTTTTATGCTTTTCTCCCTTTATTTTCAACTAGTGATCCAGCCAGTTAAACACTGCCTGTCTTAGGGTGGTTATACTCTGTGGCGGAGCAACGGAGCCACCCTTGGACAGCACAATTGTCACCCTGTGGAGAGGGTAGTGTTAGATGCACTAGCAGATTTAGATGGACATAGCAAACAAAATAAAGCCGAACTCCAGCTAACACCTTTTAGTCAGTTACAGCATGTTTTTTGGTTTTCCTTTTGAGATAAAGGAATAAAAGCTGACCATTTTTAAATAGCCCTGCCAGTGTTAAATATTTTTGTCTCAACTCTCTGCCACCTTTGCTGGACAGCTTGGTCTGTTAAAATAAGTTGAAACATAACAGACTTACTGTCCAGATCACCGGGTGAAAACAAAGGAAAGAACATCTGATAAAGGAAAATTAATTCAACCCCCACTTCAAAGAGTTGGTAAGCTGTAATATATTATATTTTTGCGTTTGGGTTTAAATTACACTTTTAAGTATTAGGTCCTATGGAAGCACTTATTTTGGCATTGTCTGTTCCATCTCCTTCCAACTCTTCCCGACAAATATATCACGGCTTTTAGCTTTGGTCACCAAAACCCGCCCCATGTAGAAGCCATTGAACTGCCCTACTCCATCATTTCGACCCATTGATAGAAGCATTGAAACTTGCCCTGAAGAAAAGGAAACAGACAAATTCACTTATATGCAGGTTAATATCAGCAGTGTGGTGATAGCAGGTCACAGACACAAAGTCTTCATAATACTGTAGTAGGCTCTAAATTTTTTTATAAAACTCATTATGGTGTACGGCTATATGGCACAATGTGCATTACATCATGTTGATAAAGGTGGGCTATGACTCACTAAAAGGTCGGTGAATAAAGTCTTTTGGATAATACTTGCCCCTTTAAAAGCCTGAGAGTGCCCTACCCAGATAATCTATAGGCAGCCAACCTTTGCCCTCCACTAACTGCCATTATAATTTTTAGAAATTCCTAATCTAAAAACCCCTTATACTTACGTAAATGGTTATTAAACCAGCAAGCAGTAGATATAAGCCAAAACTTAAATTTTTTTTTAAAAAAGCTTTAAAAAAGGGTTAATACTTACCTGTATCTTCCCCGCGCGCTCCCGTCCGAAAATCTCAAAAATCTGAGGCGGCCGCAAAGGATCTTGGGGCGGGCGCATGCTCAGTTCAGATTTTCGACCGGGAGATGCGGAGAGACACAAGGTAAGTCTATAGACCGCGTGCACCCGCATGCAGACACCGTGGGACAGGAAGTGCCAGCAAGCACAGAGGAATCAGCGCTGGATCGGAGACCCGCAGCAGCGCTGGAGAGAAGGCTGAAAAGGACAGGAAAGAAGAAGAAGAAGATCGGATTAGGAGACATCATTTAAGGTAAGTGCTTACATTAACATTGGGGGGAAGGGAAAAAAAATGTTAATCCTTTAATGTCACTTTAAGTCCGCAGTCATTTGATGTGCTAGGTGCCGAGTCTTCTCTCTACTGCACTGCAGAATAAAAGGGTCCTTCTCCAGGTGACCACATCACTGCCTGGGTAATGTGGAGACTCCCTGTTGACTGTAGTACTGGATCACTGGTCTTTACTCTCAGAAGAGGCAACAAGAGACACGTGATACAAGTTGTCCCTTAAAGCATTCCCCCACCCCGGAGTGCAGCCCACCTGGAGAGATACTTACCTTCATCCTCGATTCAGATATCTTCACTGTGTGGCCCATTAAAGAATGCTGAACTAAGGACTAAGAGCGAAAGTATTTCTACAGGTAAGCTGGACTCAGGGTGTATAGTTGGCCTTTAATTCTCTTCCAGCTATAGACACTCCCAGACACCACTAAAATTAGCTAAAAAGGGAAGACAAGAGGGGCTCTGCTCATTTATTCCAAACCAAAGTGTGCCCTTAAACTTAAACATCAAGTGATGGCTGGGAACAACTTACAGCCTAGAGAACCCAATATCTGAGACTCCTGTTTATAAGCGGATTGGGTATACCTTACAAATGCTTTTTTAAACAGAAAGCAGGGACTTTTTAAACAGTAATCCTTTAAACATAGGTTCATGAGCGCATGCACACCCTCCAATAACGGAAAGAATGCAAGCTTAACAGTATGAAATCCAATTAGAAAATGTTTTAAATCTTGGGTGTAAGTTGTGTGAAAACATTTATAAAAAGATCCCCTAGACAACTCATGGAAATATAAATGCGTTGATAGGAGTACTGCAGTACCTGTTTTGTATGGTTTCAGTGGTTTCTCCAATAAACTGTTGATAATGTTAGTGACGGCAATCTTGGCATGCAGACCCGCACTGTATGCCATTTTAGGTTCTCTTAAGTCAGCACAGTCTCCTACTGCATAAATGTTGCTGTATCCTTCTACTTGAAGATAGTCATTCACCTTAAGAGCTCCATTGCTTGCTACTTTGTCACCTTAATGAAAAGCAAATTACATAATGTTGTTACAAAGCAAATCAGTGCTAACGTACAGTTGGGCAAAGCTACAGATAGTTTGAATATTGTGTAAGAGTTTCCTCTTTGATTGCATCAGAGATTCAGTCTTGGAAATTTAGAGCCATTATTGGACTTGAGACATGAGCAGGGATAATTTGTTTTAATATTACTTACCAATGCTTGATAGGCATTGGGAGGATATATAACCAGTGGATGTGTACTTCAATGGTGGGGAGGACAGTAACCTGACTGGATGTAGGCAATGTAAGGGTCCATTTACACCAAGGAGGTCTTCTGTGGTGCATTTAACCCACACACATCATGACGTAGGTTGACGTTCATTACACAAATCACAATGGACTAAAAAGTTTACTGAAACACAGGGTACGGCATTACTTGGTGCTGCAACTCACATACATTGGGAAGGTGCATTGACATGCCATTCAGAGTGAATGGCACCAAAGCAGACCAACATACGTAAAGTGCGTTACCCCAGCACACTGGGGTGAATGGGCCCTAAGCGCTAGATGTGGTCATTTATAATAATGCAGCTGGTACAGGTGATCTTGAATAGAGTGTACATCTACAAAGACCATTAATGTTTGTGGGTTTCTGGAATCAAATGTTAATAATATTTTCAGAAACACAAACATGTGCAGTTGTCTACAAGCAAGCACAGAATTAGTCCAACATAGAGCTATAATTTTATTTATAAGGCTAGGTGTATAGGGCATTGAAGACCTTCTATCCCCTCTGTTAGGGGTCAGCACAAATTGGGTAGGAGCCAGATGAGTCCTTCCGCCTTCTGCTTTTAGAGTTCATTGTTACCTATGAACAGCATGCCCAATGCCCAGTGTACACCTGTACGTGTTTTCCAAGCACACCAAAAAGTATGCCACTCATTCACAGGTGTGCATTTGGTTAATGCTGCCTATGGGGTTCATTGGAACCTAAAAGTATTGGGTGAGGTGGCTGCTCTGGTGCCCATTCTGGCTACACATACTGCAGCCAGAAGAAGTCAGAGCCCAGTCATTCTCTACAAGTCAATGTATAAATACCGTTGTGCCATAAAATATAACAAGTGCATTGGAACTCACCAAGCAAACATTAATGATATCTATAGCAACAGTTTAAAGAAACGTTGGTGCTATCCGCCCTGGGTACACCAGTGTACTTACCAAATACATTGATGTAACAAGATGAGTTGATCTTGATTCCTGTACAGCAGAGGAGCAGGTCAGCAGTAATGACCTCAGGATCCTTATCCAAACGTATTTCCATATTATCTTGAACCACATTTGGTGTAAGTTCATCCAAGTTAGCAACTTTCTGGCCTGCACGATCAAATTGGACAGCAGTTATTTAGGAATAAGATCTTTTCTAGCTGTTTATATGTAGTAGCATAAAACATGGTTTGCATAAACCAGAAAATCAACTCATTCTGCAGCACAGTACATAGTACTGAATTGAGTTCAGAGCACAAAGTGCCTATGCTTCACCTATCAGCCCAACATGTTATACATAATACAATATTCAGCTAGTATCACACACTACCATGCCATCTGTGGTATTAGCAATACCAGTCTGAAAGTCCTATAACCCCATCATGTTAAACCCATATTTATTATGCCCCCCCCCCCCCCCAAAAAAAAGCAACTACCACAATTTGAATTCCACAACAGTAATGCCCCTCCCTTTTTGCTGCCATTATGCAGTGTGATTCATGGAAATATGTTGGAATACCAACATGGATACTGAACAATAGTAAGAGGTCAGCACATTTATAGTGAACATTATAAGAGTGCAGATTACATTATCAATGTTAATAATCAACTGGAAACAGGGACCTACCCAATACTAGCTTTACTCCCTTTTTCAGGAGGATTTCCTTCACGGTGTTCCTAACACGTGGCTGTAGTTCCACATCTGCTAATGCAACCTTTGAATGTACCAATGTAACCTGTGCAAAGCAGAAACACAGCAGAACATCCTTAAGCCCAAGTTATGCTTTAGTATTACCGTGTCACTTACTGGCCTTTAATTTAAAAAAATGCACTAAAACACTATAAGCACTATTGGTTAGGCACTGAAAGGTGTTTTGTGCAATACATTTGTGATTAATCAACACCAGCTTTGACATAATTTTAACAGTTAAAATAAACCCCCAGAAAACAAAACATTACACCCAAGACAACGAATCCTATTGAAAAAGAGCAATCCGTAGGCAGGATGACCTAGAGAAAGTTCAGAGAAGGGCAACAAAATTAATAAGAGGGATAGAGGGCCTGAGTTATCAAGAACACCTACAAAAATGACATGTCTCCTCTTAAGATGCTTAAGAGGAGACATGATCGCAATTTATAAACTCATTGTTGGGGACAGCAGTATTGGGAATGCACTACTTACATCAAGAAGTTGGGGAAGATGCGAGGGCACAACAAGAAGCTCGAGGGGATGTGGTATAATCCTAAGCTGCGCAAGGTTTTTTTTTTTTTTTACTGTGAGAGTGGTAAAAATCTGGAATTCACTTCCACAGATAGCTGTGTCGGTGGAGAACATAAACAGCTTCATTAAATACTTGGATGAGTACACACACAAATTAGGTTGAACTTGATGGACCAATAAATAACCAATAGCCTGATCCCTGGAACCCTACCGCCTGCCATAACCTCATAACCATAACCTCAACCTAATACCTGGACCTAACATTTAACCTCACCCAACCCCCTATAGTGGAATTAAAGTTAGAAGAAAAATGTTTTTAGGTAGAGTTTTTTGGGTAGAAAAGACTTTGTAAGTTTCTTCTGTCAATAAACATCTTTCCAATTTCCCTAGCACTGTTTTTGTGTACACTGCCTCAGACACTTGCACAGTGCTGTATACACTCAGCCCACTCTTGGCATCTGGAAAATGCAGTTATCTGCACCCACCAAAGATAAGTTTAACTTTAAATGTGAATTTAAGCCCTAAACATAACTGTTAACTTAAACCTAGCCACTACAACTAACCCTTTACCAAAACATACCCTTAAAGTAAAACTAGGGCCTCATTAAAAAAATATCTGCTGCAGCACCTAAATATAGGTGCATCTAAACTTACAGTTTTCTCTTAATCCCCCTTCAAAGTTCCAAAATAGCTGTTGATTCTTCCAGTGAAGTCCACTTAATGCAGCTTCCTGTGATGGTGTGCCAATGATGCTGCACTGCTACTGAATTCAGAGCAGAGTTGCCACTCTCATGTAGGCTGGGCCTGCTTGTACTACATTAGGATGAGAAGATGTTTCAGGGGGCATTGTCAGGGGAGGTAAAAAGTTTTTTTGTCTACTTTATGAGGTTGTGCATTGCATTATAACTGGATTTGGTACTTCTTTAGACTGTTACCCTAACTGCTAAACCTAACCCTAATAACTAACCATTAACCTACCCATACCCCTAACTTTAAGAAAAAATTTAGCCCCTATTCTAATATGATAAGGACAAATGCATATTATGATGAAGAAAATGATCAAGTCAATCAAATCGATACAATGCCAAAATGTTTCTGTTTAATGCACAATGCAGAGATGTATGTTCCATAAACTATTTCGACAAAAGCTTATGATCTGGGATGAGGTGCTAATCATAAAGCATAGGTGTCCCTTACCGTCTTTAACTGTTTTAATCATTCTCTACACTGCTCGAGTAGCTCTTATAGGTAGACTTTGACTGCTTATGAATGGTTTAATAAGCATTTAGAAATCCCGCATATGGACAGTATATGACATTGACCTATCCCAGGTATCATTAATATGCAAAATAGAATGCATTTTACCTCTTTCTCTGGATAATCTGTTTTCACCTCTGCAGCCATTTCAACACCCGCAGAACCTCCACCCACAACAACCACGTGTTTAGCTTTTTGGACCTTGATAAGAAAAAGAAAGTTATCAGACTAGGCCACAGCAAGACCTTATATGGTGGCCAGACATTCTCCTACAATAAACAATCATTCCAGGGTGGTCCGAGTGTGCATGTTAATATTCAACAGAGGAGGAATGGGGTGCATGGTCAGACACTCGCTGATGCCAGCCTTATCTCGGGCAAAACAATAGCACCCAGGCAAAATGAATTACAACTCACAGGGTTATTCACGAAAGGGTGAAAAGTTTGGAGAAGTGAACAATCTAGGACAACATAGCTGATTTTGAAAAATTCTCCAATTCAGCTCACTTTTCAGTTCAGCTATGTTGTCCTGGTTAGTTCACTTCTCCTGCCTTCTCCAAACTCTTCACCCTTTTGTGAATAACCCTGCTAGTTTCTAGTTTCCCCAGGAACATCTATTCTTACTCATAGATCCTCATGGCCAAATCTTCCCATAAATCTTTCAATGCCACAGTATTATGACAGACTGAAAATCTGGCCAGAGGCAGCTAAAATTTAATTGGTTGGATCAGCAAAACAACAATGTAGTGTAAGAGCCTACCCACACAAACCATATAATATATTTTCTGGTCAGATAGATATTCACACTGCACTGCTGTACGGAGATGTCTACAGTTCGGACATATTAAATTTGAAACAAAATATGACATGTGGCCAGGATAAAATACTGGAAAGCAAAGGTGTAAGGTGCTATAATATACCAGAATGGCTGATACAAGAGAATGTAAAGTCCCAATACTTCCCAATAAGCTGAGTGTACCCGCTTGTGTCAATTTCCATTTTCTTACCATGCGGAATGAACAGTTGCTATTGATATCATTTCAACACCCCTAGCCTTGGAAACATGGATCCACTGGCTTGGACATTTTTGGTGGAAAGCCCACCCTGAGGTACACATATATAGGAAATAGTATGTGCGAGTGTCATGTATAAGAACATCCTTATAGGGAACATTTACAGAGAGAAGTATGGAGGCTGTCATGGATGACCTCCCCCTGGAAATGTTAATTGCGTGGCTGTCTTTTGGCGCAGCTTTACCAACGCCTATAAAACATCATACAACTCCATGGTGAGGTCAAATGTGGACTTTAATTGGAAATGTGACTGTCACTTTAGCAGGCTTTCAGCAAGCTTTAGGCAGCACTGAAGTCTACTAGCAGCTTGCTCAAAGTGACAGTTAGCACTCCCATTAAGATTTGTGTTTAATGTCCCTAAACCTGATGAACCCATTAAAGTATGCATTTGAGATTTGTGGAGGGGAGTGCTGCATTGCTTAGAGTTTTATTTGGAAGATAAATAGTTCAATGGTTAACTGGAGAAAAGAAAACATTCTCCCATATTCAGTTTCTACTGTCATGGATTCACAGTAATATGTAATTGAAGTGATTTACTGTTGATGCAATGTCAATTGAACCTTACTTCTTTCAGACACCTAGCACTGAGCACAATATAACTGACAGGTTGCAAAGTGTGTAATAGAGCTATTTCCTCCTCAAAGCCTGATCACACCAATATTTTACAGTTATTGCTCTTCGGTCTCCAGTGACCCTTTCTACTTGATCACGGTTCTCCTCAGACACAGTTGCCAAGGCAACATGTTCAAGCCCTTAGATCAATAAGACATTTCTTACTGTTTAATGTTAACAGAAGGCAAACAGGATCTCCAAGAAAGAAAAGATAATGATCAGAGCAGACAGTCCTGGTTATGTGGACTACAAAGGCCTCAAGTAGATGTGTCTGTAGCCTACTGCATAAAAAAAAATTGTGCTCAATTATGTCACTTTATAATATAGGCTCTTTCAGAATCAGAGCCTTGATTAGGCAGTTTAAAACCTAATTCAAGCAAAATTTTTATTTTTCTCTCTATAGAGTGGGTAAGAGTCAGACCCTCTGTTTAGTTTTATTGTTGTATGTGTCTTCACCACGGAGGCTTCCCCTCACTGTTCGCACAGATCTTCTAATCTGCTCAATTAACTGTTAGTGCACATAGCCAACAGGGTCAGAGACCTCCAATAGGTATATGACCTTCACCCCATCCTGACAAAAATAGCCAGACTGGGCAACTGTCATCTTATGTCTACAAGCAGATGTCTCACTAGAAATGATGGGAAACAACATACCTTTCTGGTCTTACTCACACCAGGACCCCCATTCAATGTTTTCTCCCACATGACCAACAGGTGAATGGAGTAATCATGCTGTGAGTAGTTGGCCCTTTTTGCTTCATAGGAAATTGAAAAAGTTGATACAGAGCACCACTAGCTTTAAAAAGTAAAGTTTCTTTCCATGCTGATATAGCAGGGTACTGTGTGCTTTCAGTGGTTAGGTTATATGTTTAGGTTACATTTTAAGGGTAACAGCAAGTGTTAAGGTAAGGATAAGAAATAGATTAGATGGTCAGGGACATTGTTGGATACGGTTTAATTTTGGTGTGAAGAATTAAAAATAACAAGTGGGGCAGCATGATATTGCCATCTTAGTGAACCCCTTTACAACCCAATCCTGGCCTATAACGAGGCACAGTGGCTTAGTGATTAGCACTTCTGCCTTGCAGCACTTGAGGTCCCCAATTGGAATCCCAGTCAGGGCACTATTTGCAAGGAGTTTGCATGTTCTCTCTGTGCTTGCATGGGTTTCCTTCAGGTACTCTGGTTTCTTCCCACACTCCAAAGACATAATGGTAGGTTAACTGTCTGTACAGGACACTGTATTGGACAGGATGACTCACAGGACCTTAGACTTCTGGACCAGAGGGGGGTAACTGGCTGGAGGGACCAGTCAAAGAGCAAGACGACTGGGAGGATTGGGTGGGTATAACTGTTATTTTCGCTCCTAGATTAAAACAGGCACTTAATCCTTGCAGTCTGGGGGTAGCCCCACTGCAAAAGTTAAGATCATTTTTCCCTGGAGTTCTTTGAGGAACGCAAGTTGCAATAAATTAAAAAAAATTGTTTTGGGTTTAGATACGCTTTAAAATTAAAACCAGCTTTTTGCACTGGATTTTACATCCTTATCAATATTTTGAAAACTGCTGCACTGTAAATGTTATCTTTGTTAAAACACTTGCATATCTGAAAGAGTGTCAGGGGTGCAATGTTTCATATAAAAACACTGAGACTGACCCTCTGATTACACTAAAGGAATAACCTCCTACCTAGAACTCATTTCAAATCCGATCAGCCATAACATTATGACAACCTGCCCAATTGTGAGTAAATCCACCTTTTGCCACTAAAAGAGCCTTGACACGTCAAGGCATTGACTGAAATAGACCTCTGAAGATATGTTGTGGTATCTAGCACCAAGCCGTCAGTAGCAGATCCTTAAAGGCCTGTAAGTTGTGAGGTGGTACCTCCATGAATCTGACTTGTTTTTCTAGCACATCACACGGATGCTCAATTGGATTGAGATGTGGAGAATTTGGGGGCCATGTCAACACCAAGAACTCATTGTTGTGTTCCTTGAACCATTTTTGCAGTGTGTTAGGGTGCATTATCCTCCTAAAAAGGCCACTGCTGTCAGGGAATACCGCTCCCATGAAGGGGTGTACTTGGTCAAAAACAATGTTTGGGTAGGTGGTACTGTACATGTGTAAAGAACATCCACATGGCAGAACCCAAGTTTTCAAAGCAGAACACTGGCCAAAGCATCACACTACCTCCACCGGGTTGCCTTTTTCCATATTGCATCCTAGTGCCATCTCTTCGCCAGGTAAGTGACACACATGCACCCAGCCATCCACATGATGTAAATGAAAACGGTATTGATCAGACCAGGCCACCTTCTGCCATTGCTCTGTGGTCCAGTTCTGATGCTCATGTGCTCAATGTAGGCACTTTTGGAGGTGGACACTAGTCCGCATGAGCACCCTAACCAGTGTGTCTATGTAGCCCCATACACAACAAACTGTGATGCACTGTGTGTTCTCACACCTTTTGTATTGGAGCCAGCAATAACTTTTACAGAAATTTGATCTACAGCAGCTTTTGTATCGGATCGGACTATACAGGCCAGTATTCGCTCCCCATGTGAATCAGTCAGCCTTGGCTGCCTATGACCCTGTTGCCGTTTCACCGGTTTTCCTTCCGTGGTCCACTTATGGTAGATCCTGACCATTGCAGACCGAGAACATGCCAGAGCTGCAGTTTTGGAGTTGCTCTGACCCAGTCGTCTAGCCATTACAATTTGGCCCTTATCAAAGTCACTCAAATCCTTAAACTTGCCTATTTTTTCTGCTTCCAACACATCAACTTCAGGGACAAAATGTTCACTTGCTGCCTAATATATCCCACCCACTTCCAGGTGCCATTGTAATGATATAATCAATGTTATGCACTTCGCTTCTCAGTGGTTGTAATGTTATGGCTGATCAGTGTATGTCTATATGTATGGTTTAATACTAATGTCCTACAAAGTGAGTTTTTAGGCCATGTGGTATTCAAGTATAGGAGTGCAATACTTTGAAGACTCTTGTGCTCCTAGTATTTTCGTGTTTCTAGCTAGAAAAGTTTTTCAGCCTAAAGAACCAAAAACAGAAGATTTTCAGTTCTTAAACCCCCAATTTTCTGTCTTGTGATTGTCTACTTTTATTTCTGAATATGTTTAGCGGAGGAAAATAATATGCCAATACAGTGACAAAGACAGCATTTTTTATTGAAAAGCATAACCAAAAGCAAACCACAAGGTGGCGCTGTGCGATTGGGACACACTGGAGCTAAAGAATACTATTCTACACAGCGTTTTAACATTACAAGATTTTTTTTTTCAGTCTTGTGGAATATGTACATCATTAAGAAAATAAGCAATAACTGGATCATTTAACAGATAATTGCTAATATTGATTCATCAACATTTTGAAATGTTTAAATCAGTCCAAAGTAGGGCACATGTATCTATTACATTTGAGACAAAAATGTTTCAAATTCCTTATGATTCAAACAACCTGTTTTCAAAACTATCTGTAATTTAGCTCAGATTGAGAACCTAGTTCAGATGTACAAATAAAAAATAAAAAGATATTGAAAAAATAAAAATAAATCCATTCTATACTCTATAGTATACTCATTATAGACAAAGAAACAAACGGGGAAGATAATAGACTTGGTATAACAATCTACATTGTTGCGGTGTGGCTCAGGGTTAAGTTTTAGTACCATAAGCGGTAACCCCGAACCACACTCGGGATTACAGCGCAGCGTATCTTACCTTGTCCACGATCGCCGCTGTGTCTTCCGGCCGATGCCGCCATCCGTCTTCCGGGTTCGGTCCCTTGCAAGCGTCCGCACCGCAGGGGGGCGGGAATTTTAAAAGTTAAAAAAAAAAAAATAGAACAAAAAAAAAAGGGGGAAAAAAATAAATCAGACCGCCAGGGAGGTTAAATGAAGAAGAACTATGGGGATTAGTGTTTTTCCCCATAGTTCTACTCAAGGTCACGGGAGGACATAAACTAGCATCCTCCCGTGACCCAAAGCTCAGTATACCGCGAGCTACTACAGCTCGCGGTATACTGAGACATTACTGTCGAGATCCACCCAGCTGCGTGATTGACAGCTGGCTCTGCCTATCCCTGCAGGGAGCCATGAGTGACAGTCACGGCTCTCTGCAGGGACATGATCAAAAAGTAAGCGTGCAACGGTATGTGTTCGCTCACTTCCCAATCTAGTGAGCCGACGTGTGACAGTTTCATTGTCACACTTCGGCTCGGACTATGAGGTTGAGTGAAAATCCCTCACCTCATAGTTCTCCTTTAATTACATTTTTGTCTAATATGCACATCTGGCCTAGGTTTTCAGTCTGAGTCCAATTATGGACAGTTTTGTACACATAGGTTGTTTAGTCCTCAGAAGCTCCCTCTATTGAGGAACTGGAGATATTTTTGATTGTGATAGCATTACCTTGGGCTGACTCTGGACTCTATTTTTTATTTGTTGGCATGATTTTTATTCATTGTAGAACAATATCAGTAGTCTGTCCTCTGCAGCACTCACTGTTCTTCCTTGTAGCCTGTGAATCCAAGGCCCATTCAAAACGTGCATGCGTTACACAATATACAATGAGTGCCTGCTGCTGTGCATTGTGTAAGGTAAGTGTGTTTTGTTGCAACAACGCATCTCAACTATAGGACAAAGGGCAAATTGCTTTTTTCTAGACGGTGGGCAACCTTGCCCAATGCATGTGGTATGAATGAGCCCTTCCTCTGTAGCTACAAAAGTCCCCAGAGTACTAAAGAAGTTTGCATCTGGATGCTTCTATATTTATATACTACTATAGACCTTCAGTTTTTAGCTAATCTAAGCTATTTTACAGCCTTATGCTGCCATATTACTAATCCAACATGTAACAGCTGTAAACGCTGTAAAACACAAGGCCCACTTTTAAAGTGTGGGAACTGTAATCAGGCAAAGCCACTGACGGTTTGGTGTTGCGCACGTCACCCGACAACTACAACATCCACGTGAGCTCCATATTTTTCTTGAAAGCTTTTACCTACTAAAATGTTGAGTATAAATCATACACAGTGCAATGAATGTTACTTTGCACACTCACCTCCTTTACCAGATCTTCATACATCTGAATAGCTGCATCCTTGGTGGATATTTTGTTAAATTTCCCAGGGAAGGGACCATTACTCCCTGTAGCAATTATGAGATGGGAATAGTGCAGTTCCTAGACAGAACATCAATGAGAAAAATCAGGACTTGCGTTCTAGATAATACTTAGTTACAGTTGCCATGCATCATAATCAAAAATATTTTAGATTTTTTAATTGATGCATTATTCTATGTTGAATGAATAATCTAACCAAATGTTGGTGCATCTCACTTGCGATCATGAGTTATTTTTAGCCAAGCGCTCATTGGCCCTTATTGAATAAACTAACAATTATTAAAGGGAAATAATGATCATCACATTTTACGGAATTGAGCCTGCCAACAAAAAAAAGATTAAGTCCAAAAAAAGAAAAAGGAAATGAAAGAGAAGTACGTGTAGTGTACGAGTCAGATGTGATTCTCTGGAAAAATCCCTGTCCAAGTCAAAAGAGATGCTTGTATATGAAGATGAGAAAACTTATAGCCCAATTGAAACTTGTTGCCACTTGGGGAGGGGGGGTATGGTGCATGTTAGACCACAGCAGAGAGAGATGGCGAGAGCAGGGACGCCCACGCGAGATGGCGAGAGCAGGGACGCCCACGCGAGATGGCGAGAGCATGGACGCCCACGCGAGATGGCGAGAGCAGGGACGCCCTGGCGAGAGCAGGGACGCCCTGGCGAGAGCAGGGACGCCCTGGCGAGATGGTAAAAGCAGGTAGACTGTGGTGAAAGTGAGAGCATGGGCACAGTAGCGCAATGGTGAGAGCAGGGACACCGTGGTGAGTGTAGGAAATCCAATGCCAATCAGCATCGAGCCAACCAAACAGCATAGAGCCAGCTTCCCGGCCAACCAGGAAGCCGGAAGGTGAGTCATTACCCACTGCCCGGCTTCCTGATTGGCCGGTAAATCTGGCTTCCCAGCCAATCAGCATCGTGCTGGCTGTTTGGAGTTCATTAGTAAATGTACTTCTGGAACCCAAAAAGAGAAAAAAAGCAAAAAATAAAGGTTTGACGTTACTTCTCTTTTAAACCCACACCCTTTTTTATCATTAATAAATACTAAACCCAAAGCGAAATTTGCTTTAGCACGAAACTCACTGTATATAAGGGTGCATGTACCAACTTTTTTTGCTATTCACTGCAGCTGGGACCAAGTCCCTCAGCACAGCTTCCCCAAACTTCCTGTCAGGGAGAATGCTTACTGAGTATGAGGTCCTTGTGGGACGGAGGAGGCACCTGCAGCTGTCACTCAAATAGCTTGAAGGAAGGAGGAGAGAGCAGGGAAATGGCTTGCTGTGGGGTTGTGTGTTTGCAGTAACACATACAGCATAGAGGCACAATGATATCCAGGAGTGTGCACACAAAGGTGGCTCCACAGAACACTGTAAGGGAAAGGAGAAACCATTGAACAGCAAGGTGGGGGCAGCAAAAATGGAACCGGCCAACTGGAAAGTTTTAAAAGTTCAAGAGGCAAGATTAATATCACTTTAATCTGCCTGCTTCTTAGTGCTACACAATGAATGTGTTTTATTGTAACGTAGCTCTCATTCGTATGGGCTAGTGATGTCTGCCAGCTGATTTCAATTGCAGGAATCAGTGGATTCTTGTAGCTGGAATAACATGCGGTTGTGGGCAGGTGTGGCCGCTCAGCCTGTACACATCAGGCTGAAAGGAGCCGCATCTGTCTGTTGGTATTTGCATATATCTGCACATCCAGCAGTTGCCGGCAGTTAGGGACAGATGTCTGACCAATGTGGCAACCAGATTGAGGTCAGTGTCCGTCATCTGTCCTTAGGCACAGGGATCTGCTGGAATAGTGGCAGACAGCTGTGGCTCCTGTTGGCCTGCCATTGATCTGTACACGCCCGAGGGGCCGCAGCTGTCTGGAACAACCTGTGATTCTAACTGCAAGGATTCGCTGCCAGAAATAAATAGCCCATGTGAATGAGGCCTTACACATAAAACTACTTAGACTATGTGAAAGCAATAGGTTCTCTTAATAGCTAGACACGCCGACAATCAGTTGAGGGAGAATAAATATACAAAATGTGTATGTAATGCAATGAGGGACGAAATCATCAAACCCTTTCTCCTAAATTCAAAACAGAAAAACAATGGTAATGGTGGAGCTTCACTAATCCCAACTGTTGGCAAAGGTTATTACAGTATGGATCTCCATTACAGTGTATTTATTGCAAAAAAAATTTGGGGGGCAATTTTACTTCCACTGGGGCATTTCCCACTCCAGCTGCCCACCGTCTGACCCCCCTAAAGTCTGAAAAACCATGAAATGCAGAGGTGGCTCTTTAATTAGGCAAATTAGGCAGTCGCCTTAGGCCTCGCGCTCCCGAGGGCCTCGCGGCCGCCTAGTTTGCCCTGTCGGAACGACACATCACCTCGCTCGCAGCTGTGAGCTTTCAGCCCTTTCATGGCTGAGAGCTCATCCGTTTCCTCGATCATCGGTACGGTCCATCCACCCGGTCTTCTGGAGCTTCACTCACCAGCCAATGAGAAGAGACCTCATCCCTCCCATCCACCACACGAGGATCTCTGGCTGGGAGGGCGGAGTTTATCTTCAGCAGCAGATGGAGACGATGTCGGCACCGGCTGGTCCTGCACGCTCCTGCCCCCGATACATGGCCAGCACAGTGCTGGTGAGTAGCAGCCTGGAGAGCCCTGAAGAGAGCCCTATGGAGAGCAGGTGAGAGCCCTGTGGAGAGCCCTGGATTAACCAGGGCCCTGTGGGGTCTCACTTGGGCTCTGTGGGGTCTAACAGAGGCCTGTTACCCTGGTGAGGCCCCCACAGAGCCCTGGTGGCACCAGGGCTCTTTGGCATCTCACCAGGGCCCTGAGGGGTCTAACCAGGCTGGTGAGACCACATATAGCAATGGTGAGACCCCATAGAGCCCTGGTGAGACCCTCGGGAGCTCTGGTGCTGGTGAGACCCCATCTCGCCCTGGTGAGACCCCACAGAGCCCTGGTTTAACCAGGGCTCTGTGGGGTCTCACCAGGGGTCTAACCAGGGTGGCAAGACCCCACATAGCCCTGGCGAGACCCCACATAGCCCTGCTACCCTGGTGAGGCCCCCACATAGCCCTGGCAAGACCCCACATAGCCCTGGCAAGACCCTACACAGCCCTGGCGAGGCCATACAGAGCCCTGGCGAGGCCATACAGAGCCCTGGTGAGACCCTGCGGAGCCCTGGTTTAACCAGGGCTCGTTGGGGTCTCACCAGGATGACCCTACAGAGCCCTGGTTTAACCAGGGCTCTGTGGGGTCTCACCAGGACTCTTTGGGGGTCTCACCAGGGCTCTGTGGGGTCTCACCAGCCTGGTTAAACCCCACATGGTACTGGTGAGACTCCACAGGCCTGAGTGGGGCATCATGTTTAGGTTTTGCCTAAGGCCTCGCAAACTCTAGAGCCGCCACTGATGAAATGGCCCTTATTTAGAAAGTTTGAGGACCCCTGTTTTACATAGAGAGACTGTTGTGTTGATTTAGCACACCGTTACCCTTGTAGTTACCTCGTTGCTTTCTAGTACCACGTTCTGGGTCTGCGTGTTTATTGCTGCCACTTTGCCTTGTTTGAAGCTGTCTTGATATGAATCGTTGAAGGAAATGAAGGTTTTTCTTGCAAAACCTGTTAAACAATTACAACATTTCAACCCAGAGTTGCACGCACATGGATACATTCTCATCGTATTTGCATGATATATATGTCAACAACCAGCGACAGGTAAAAGGATTATCAATGCATTAGCCTAATTCTGGATGTGAAGTCATCTCTGTAAATTAGATATTACATGAAATATAAAGTCTTTGTTGTACTGGGAAGGACCATTGAGGCACATGTTCCCTGCCCAGTCAATGTAAAGAAGAGCAAAGACTTACTTAAAAAATAAAAAAAATATTTAATTTAAATGAGGAGCTTCTGAAATTGCTACAATAAATACTGTATATCCACATGACCTAAACGGTCTATTTTTCTTGCAGTAGCAGCATCAACTATAACTGTACAGTACTTGCCATCTTCACAAACTATAGATTAGTATTGACCACAGATATTCTGCTATATACTGTACGGTCATGTGAAAGAGTAAGTACACTCCATGAATGAGGTCTCCCGATCTGTGGCTCCCGGCTCTCCTCTCGTTGCCCTGCTCCCCAAATTATGGCCACTGGATGGAGCTGAGGAGCATAGCAATTTTCTATGCTCCTCTGCTCTATCTAGTGGCCATAATGTGATGTGAATGTAAAAGTCAGATGTTCGCAGAGTGAACAACTCTGCAAACATTTTGGGGGTTATTCACTATTGAACCGAAGGATTTAGCTCACTTCGGCTGCCGAAGCCCTTCGGTTCAGCATAATAGCCCGTACAGCAGCCGAACAGCTCAGCCAAGCCAAATGTATATGCTTTGGCTAGGCTGAGCCGATGACACAGCCGAAGCGGGGAGAATGGTCTTCCGAAGTGTACCGTTCTCCCCGCTAATGTTAACAAATAGTAAGAAGAAAAAAAAAGTGTGGTCCCCTTCCCATTCACACCAGACTCTTTAGGTCTGGTAGGAATGTTAGGAGGGACCCCCAGTTAAAAAGAAATAAAAAATTCATGGGGTTCCCCCCAAAATTCATACCAGGCCTTTTAGGTCTGGTAGGGATTTTAAGGGGGAACCTAAAATTCCAAATCACACCCTTAATCCGAGCATAGGCCTGGCAGGGCAGGAAAGG